AAAATGTGAAAGTATTCTTCTTGTATATTCACATATTTAGGATCCACCTAGCTTCATGTTTTCTGACTTCCAGGTGTCCTATCAGGAAGTTTTGGGACAAAGGTGTTTTCTTCACCTTCTGTAGATGAAAATTGTTACCAAGGCAGAAATGTTTTTTATATTTAACATTATGAACCATACGAAGTAAAAAAAAAAAACATTTATTTTGTAAAATTTGCAAGAAAGTTCCTTAGTTGTTTAAAATTGTCTTGGGAAGGCTGTTTCTCCCTCCCCACAAGAAGGTATTATAAGAAGCTTTATTTTACTATAGCTGAAAAAAAGCATTAGCTTCTCTGTAATGATTTGCTTGTGTACATTTTCTTAAATGAATATGACAGCCATTTAGGATTCAAAAGTGCAAGGCAATGTATGAGATTCAAGGGTGCTAGGCAGAGGTGGTATTCAGCAGGTTCTGACCAGTTCTGGAGAACCGGTAGCGGAAATTTTAAGTAGTTCGGAGAACCGGTAAATACCACCTCTGGTCCTGCCCCCATCTATTCTCTGCATCCCGAGTCCCAGCTGATCAGGAGGAAATGGGGACTTTGCAGTAACCTTTCCCTGGAGTGGGGTGGGAATGGAGCTTTTACAGTATACTTCCCTGCCACACCTACCAAGCCACATCCACAGAACCGATAGTAAAAAAAGTTTGAATCCCACCACTAGTGCAAGGAGAAGATTCAACGGTGCACAGAGGGGTGTGAGGGAGGTGCATGAGTGTATAAAAGAGGTACAGTGAGTGTTGGGAAAGGTGCATGAGGGTGGTATGTGGGAGATACAGTGAAGCTCAGGGAAGGTGCACAAGCCTCTTAGAGAGGTGCAGTTCACCTGATGTGTGTGTATGCGCTGTGGAAATTAAATCTTCACTGAATCCATTCAAAACAACCATGACTGCTGGGGAATGTTTGGCTAGAGTCCTCATCTGCTCTGCTCATTCTTTCAGTGTTTTGAGAATGCTGTGTATCTTAGCCAGAATGGGAAGAAGGCTAATCGGCATCCTCTTTTGTATCTGATCTTTGATTCAAAATATAACACGGGCATTTTTTGCTGTTTTATAACTGCTCCTGGTTCCTGGTGATCTTTTCATCGCCTTTTTGATCTTTTTCCTATCCATCAAAACTGTGAAGATGATGGAATGGGCGAGTCCTTCTTGTGCTATAATATCCACATTCTTTCTGGGATCATACGCTTTGATGATCTTCACCTTCAGATCAAATCAATGAGTTTCCCTTGCTGCTTCTTCAGCTGAACTGGACTGCTTTCTCTTTTCCTTTGAAAATATTGCAAGCGAAAATAAGTTTCTAAGACGCCATTGCAAGTACTCTAGGTAAAGAGAAAGAGAGTTGAAGAGATAGATGCTTAAACAATTTAACAATTTAATTTATCTTCAGTGTTAGGGGAGGGGAGGCAATAGAGTTTTCCTTGCCTGTTAAAAACTTCATTCCCTGGATATAGCATGTAAATGCTCGCTGCTAGCAGACAATTTAAAATATTCTGCTAGCTTATTTTAAATTTGTTTATTTCTTATATTAAATATTTGGTTATACAGTCTGCCTTTGTTTTGAAGTGGCTCCCCCCTTCATGATCAGTTTGTTTCTATTATAGCCTATGCAAAACAATCTATTTTTTTTTTACTATTGGAGAGAGCGAACAACTGTGATGGCTGGACTTTACATGCAGTCCATTTGTGAGGAAAAGCCAGGGGTCACGGGAAGGGATATAAAGTCATAAAAATAGTTTACAGAGTTGAAGATCAGGAGTTTAGAGAACAGACAGACAATAACTCATACAGCAATATTCCTTCACTGGTTATTTTATCCTCTTACTATGCAGATGATCTCTGTCACACTCAAAAGCACACACTCAAAAATATATAACCCTCCCCTTCCAGCAGAAACAACAAGAAATAAGTTGGGGGAAGATAGTTACTTTGAGAAAGAAAAAGCAAAGAGGGAACAGAGAGAGAGAGAGGAAGAGAAAGAGAAAGAGAGAGAGGAAGGAAGGAAGGAAGGAAGAAAAAAGAAAGAAGGAAAGAAGTATTGACATATGTACTTGTACGAAAGAAGGGAGAAGTAAATGAAAGAAAATTACCAAATACAAATTTGCTACATAAACAAGGTTCCTGAATAAATGCCGGTAGGTTTCAAAAAAGACAGCAGGACATGCAATCGGATTGCTAATACAAGATGGAGCATAGAGAGAAGAAGAAATGAAAGGAGAGGAAGAGGTATTTGTTTCGATGACTACAACAAAGTATTTGTGTAGAATATAGATCAGGTGTCAAATTCAAGGCCCGGGGGCCAGATCCAGCCTGCAGGATGCTTAGATTTGGCCCATAGGGCCACCCTTGAAACAGCAAAGGACCAGCTCATAGTGCGTCTGCCAGTGAAAACGGAGCTCTGGAGGGCGCGGGTGGCCCTCCAGAGGTCTGTTTTTGCTGGCAGAGGGTTGCAGGAGGCTGTCACAGCTGAAAACAGAACTCAGGAGCCCATTTTCGCTGACAATGCTCGGGCCACAACAGGCACCTCTGACACAAGTGACGTCGAGCTGGCCACGCCCCTGATGTAGATCATGCCAGAATGTGGAATGTATTAAGCTTAGTAGTTGCCAGAACCCCAAATATTTATAATAAGAATTCAATTTCTTATTATAAAGAAACAGAATAGTTCAGAATAGAAAAGAGGATGAGCCAAGAAGGAGTATTGTTTCCATAACGTTTAATTTTATGTAGTGAATATAAGAGTGACCGGGTTGAAAGAGATGATGCCTGCAATTAAAGTTACAGTTGAAAATGTTAACAATTGGAAATATATGCAAATGACATCACTTTGTTAGCTAAAAAATCTTAGATTATTATGAAAGTGAAAAGTAAAAAGTAAAAAATGGAAAATGAATGTTAAATATTAAAACAACAAGGCTAAAGTCTGGCATTATCAAGATGAGTGGAGTTCTGTGAAACCATGTTTCTTCTACGGTATCCAGAGGATTTTTTCAGCTAAAGTTTAAAAAAAAAAAAAAGCAAGCCAGTCAGATCACTACAAAACAACATTTTGTAAAACACTTATATCAGAAAAAGTAAGATCTATCTTCCCTCCCATTTTGGATGTGGGTATATCAGACTGTTACTGTCAAAGTGGAAATTAGTGAAACAAGAACTCTTGATTCTCAGCCAAATAAAGTTGCTTGTAAATAAAGATTAGATGACAGTTTGCTTCAGAATCTAGAAAAGATCAGCCCAAAGTTAATTTGCTCGCAGAGGAATCGGGGCAGAATTTGATCCTTGTGTTGTCACGCGTACATATGGATATGTGTGTCTGTTTCTCTATGGGTGTGTCTGTATAGCTATCTAGAATTTCCTCTAAACTTCCAGATTCAAACGTTTTTGATCTAATCTTGTGTGAGTTTTCTATGTGAACCTGTTGTGAAGCCTGGACAATTACTCCAGGTTTGGAGGATAATTTAAAACAACTCATAACGATTTTACAGGTGGAGCACTGTTCAATTTAACCGTGTCTGTTAAATGTCTCTGAAAAATAATTTAATATTGATCTGCACTGGACTTATTTGCACAGATGTTATTCCTGTTGAGATTTATCCTTTACCCCTGACTTTTTATTTATTTATTTTTTTGCTGCACCTTGTCATTCCAATTTTGATTTTGTTAACTCATGAGTTTACTAAGCAAGCATCTTTTAATCCATAGTTTCAATTCTTTCTTCTTTTTACAGTGTCTAAAAACTGTTCACTTCAATATTTTTACTTTTTTTTTGTCATAGATTGTCTACAATTTCTTATCTCTACACTATAATTCCCGAATTCGTGTGAAAACATATACTGATGAACTGACACCAATTGAGTCTATAATACCATTATTTGAAGGGGCAAATTGGTATGAAAGAGAGGTAAGCATTAGGGATGATAACCCTGGGAATCTAGTAAGGAATTGGTTTCTTTCCCATTGCTGTTTATTAACCCATTTGAGAACATTCATTCATTCATTCATTCATTCATTCATTCATTCATTCATTCATTCATGCAAGAAAATGTATATTGTTGCCCAACTCATTCACAGGAACTTTGAACAGCTTACACTTACCATCTAGATTACTTGTAAATCTTTTAGGAAGTGATAAATGTTCATTCCTTCCATTTTTTTGCCATGCATGCTAATATTCTTATTTCAAGGAATGTACTAGTGCTTCTATACTATGGAATACTTTCTCAAAGATGCTGATTGTACTGTATTATTAGAAATGCAATCTAAAATCTTCATATAAATACAGAGGAGAATTTTGATTATCCAAATTGCTTTTTCTCTCTTTTGACGAACAGCTGTTATCTTAATGGTAAGATTTAGGGTGAATAAAGAGTTTACCAAATGGGGAAAAAAGTTTTATGTTGACTCGAGCCAAAAGCAAATTGAGTAATTCAAATAAGCACCATCTTTTTCACAGAGCCAATCTCCGTTACAGGGCCAATCTCTGTTAGTGTTGCAAAAGGAAAGTATAGCATCATAGGTGAATGGCATGCCAAGATGAGTTGTGATGGGCCATATTTGATGACTCTTCATTTAAATCTTTCCAGGTGTGCAGGATTTGTGTTTATTGGTTTGGGGATCAAGATTTATACAAATGGAACAAAATGGGGATACTCTGTTCCAGGCAGAAATATTGGCATAGTGGAGGATAGGGGGAAAAAAATCAAGGACATCAGTGTCTCAGAGAAAAGAAGGAAAGTAGGGGAAAGTAGGCTGGTAGGGCACACCTTGCTGGGATCCCGGCAGCATCAAATGAGGGCAAAGAAGACATACAAGCTGTTGGGAAGATGGGAGGGAGGCAGGTCAGTGGAATATATTATGTCAGGAGTTGCGGAGTGAAGGGAGTAGCATCCACCAGCCTTGGCCTATGCAAGCCATCTAGATTTTGTTTCATCTGAAACCTATAACAGGTAATATATTTTCTGGATTTTATTTTTGCCAAACTGGATGATCTGGTTTGTTCCAGTTTCAAAACAAAATATTTTCCTCATTTCGTGCTTACCCTTGGTGATTTACTTCGACAATGGTGAAACAGTGGTTCTGTTACTCAGAGTAACTTCTGGTGAGATGGGACAGCTATATAAATTTGATAAATAAATAAAACAACTGATAGTTTCGTAGATCTCAAGCATTTGTTAATTTAAGTTCCAGTTGTTTCTATCAGCTGCCTACATTCCTAGCAATTAATAGCTAATATTTCCTGTTTGGAAAATCATCCAAATCAGGCTAATCAGGTAGCGTCTGTAAAGTCAACATCCTGAGCTGTTCACTTACCCAATTTCTGTCTTTCTAGGTCTGGGATATGTTTGGAGTATTCTTTGCCAACCATCCAGATCTGAGGCGAATCCTTACAGATTACGGTTTTGAAGGTCATCCTTTCAGGAAAGATTTTCCTCTTTCTGGATATGTGGAGGTATGAATAAGATAATGATTTACAAAGTCATTTCACAACAGACTGAGCCTCCATAATGTGACTTTTTTGATTTTGAGGAATAGAAAACTGGGCTTCCCGTGGAATTCTCTTGTGAGGTAGACAGGAGAGCAAGCAAGAACGGGCTAATCCAGGAGTGAGGAAATCTATCATCCCTCATTGTCCATCTGGGTTGGAGGCGGCTGAATGGTAGCAACAATATTTGCACCACCAGAGATTCCCTCTTCCCTCACCGATTCTCCATTCAAAAGCAGAGCCAGCAAACTGATCTGAGGAAAAAAATGCCATCCCTGTATTTAGAATCTGTCATCACCCGTATAACAAATATTTTGCAGGCAAATTTAAGGTATAAAATGCAAGGATGAAATAATTTCCCAAAGCAGCTTTGAGCAGACCAGCTTCCTTTATCTTCCTGAACAGTACACTGACCTGCTGTCTTCTGGTCTCCTCTACAGTACCTATTCAGTCATAATAACAAACATAAACAAAGCAGAGCCCATCTGGTCCTGCATTGCAGAGGCCACCCAGATGCATTTAGGAAGCTCACAGATATACAAAGGGGATGATAAGTCTTCTTTTGTCATTGTCTGGTAGCTGGTTAACTACTGAAAATATACAGTTGTGATTTGCCAATTAGGAAATAGTTTCAAGACAAACAGCCTTGCACAACCAGATCTTCTATGGGCTTGCACAAATGCTAGTCATACTCCACTTCTAGATTGAGGCTACAAATGACAATTCATTCATTGGTGGGGATGTGAAGCCGAGGACTGAGCGTGAAAGTCTGGAGTAGCATCCCCAAAAGACAGAGACAAGGGAGGTTTTATTGGCAAAGATGACATTTTAGTATTGAATAACAATCCACTTGTATATATCAAGGGGAAAAATGACTTGCAAAAAATCCAAATGCCTCTTATAGCCACCCTAGATAGTCTTCATCCTTCATTTTAACATTATTTCTCCATTATTAGGTCAGGTATGATGATGAGGTGAAGCGAGTGGTCGCAGAGCCATTGGAATTGTCTCAGGAGTTCCGCAAATTTGATCTGAACAGTCCTTGGGAGGCTTTCCCTGCCTATCGCCAGCCTCCCCAAACCTTGAAGATAGAACCAGGGGAGAAGAAAGGAGATGGGAAACAACAGTGAGAAGGCGGGAGGGGATGGGTACATTTGCAATCCCTCTGCCCAATTATGTATTTATATATAATAAAAAGAAATAAAACTCGGTGTGAAGTTTCTGCTTATCTCACGTACGGGAGAAATTGGTTGTGAAATGAAAGAAAATGTTATCTATAAAGTGAAATGAGTTGCTAATTGCGTGGTGGCGCAGGAGTTTGAATGCAGTATTACAGATTAATTCGGCTGACTGCCAGCAGTTCGATCCTGACCGGCTCAAGGTTGACTCCACCTTCCATCCTTCCAAGGTTGGTGAAATGAGGACCCAGATTGTTGGGGGCAATATGCAGACTCTTTAAACTGCTTAGAGAGGGCTGTAAAGCACGGTGAAGCAGTGTATAAGTCTAAGTGCTGTTGGCTATTGCTATTGCTAAGCAAGCCTATCAGTCATTGGCTTTGTGGAAGAGCCTGAGGGGATCCAGGTGGGTGGGGGGGTGTTGAGGAATAAAGGAGGGGAGAGACAATGAAAGGAATTAAAGGAAAATGAAGGTATAAGGAGTGGTGAGCTGAGCTTCTCTTTGAGACAGCAAAAAAGCCTCCAGGCAAAGAACGGGCGGGAAGATCTTCAAGGCTTTGTAACCATTCATTGTCATTACATTTTGATTTATGTTTTCACACTTTTGATAAAAAGCTGTCAGGAGTTTAATAGCTAGAAAGGTGGGAACCTATATCATAGAAATGGACTGTCGGGAATGTGTGTCGTTCTGAATTATAGCTGTAATCGTGCAGCCACCATTACTTGGAACATTAATCAGAATAGCCTTCCTGGGGTTTCAATGTCTATTACTGAGGAATATGGGAAGTCATGAGTGAGATACTCGCCATCTGCCAGCTCATGTACGCTTTTTAAAATGTGCAAGAAAGTCAAAGCTTGAAATGGTTGCTTCAAATGCTTCAAATTGGGAACAGAATTTCATGGTTTGACAGCATTTACCTTATACTTGGAACAAAACATGCTGCTTCTGATCTTAGTTTAAGACTAGCAAGCTGGGCTGGCCTAACACTTTTTAAAATGTTTTTAATTGTTTGTTATTGTTTTTAATCATGGGGCCAAATTTATATATATCTTTTTAATTGTATTTTAATGTCTGTAGTTTATGCTTTTACTTGGCTGTTCACCGCCCTGAGTCCTCAGGGAGAAGGGCGGTATACAAATTTAAAAATAAATAAATAAATTAAATAAATAAATAAATAAGACAAAGTGGGGCCGTTTCGAGGAGAACTTTTAATCCTGTGGTTTGTTTTGTAAATTGCAAAGCAAAGCCAGAAAAATAAGAGGAGCTAGTTGCATCTAGACTGCTGTTAGCATAGATTAGGGTGAGAAGAGTGAATGGGAAAAATAACTGCTTATTTTAACTATATGCTTAAAGACAGATGCTTGCTGAGTTCTAATCATCGCTTTCCTGACGCAAGCAAGGAGTTAACATCTGCAATTTTGGATGGCCACTCCAAAATAACTACTGTTAAAGACTGATCTTGGCTGCCAGCCACCTATTACAACTTGTGATTGATGTTGCAGTGGACTGTGCTGGGCATGAATGTTGTTAATGATGCTTTTCTAGTTTTTAGCTTGTAACTTGTAAAATGCAACGTATACCTGGACTTGTTGATGTGCTTCTGTATGCTAAAATATCAAGGCCATATTGCTCTTTTATCTGCTTGTTGAATATTGGTGCCAGATTGTCGAGTACAGAATTGTGTCTATAATTCTGCACTGAGAAAAGAAAAATAGCTTGAAGCCAATAGTTAAATAAGTTTTTTTTCCCCCTGTTTGCTGCTGTTCATGGACTCTGTGAATAATTCCATGTGCAGTTCTTTGCTGAGTTTCTGTGACTGCTTGTGCAAACAGCCTGGGAAACGTGTGCTTAAAGCTTTGCTTCCAGTCTCCTATGAAAATGTAAAAATTTCATTTTTTAAAAAATAATCACCTCTTTCACTATTTCTTTTCTGTACAGCGAATGGCAAGGTCTTCATTACCATCTTTTTTACTATATAGATTTGGATTGAAAAACAAAAGAACAGCTGGCTTGCTTTCTTCATTCTAGCTGTTCCACACTTGAAATGTTTCAAATTTTCTTCCATGTGGAACACAGGAGAGAGTATTTCAAGTTTTGTTTATTTGGAACACATCCAATTCAAAACATTCTGATAAGTGTATTTTGAGTATAGTGAGGTTACACTGAAAGAAGGATGTTATGATAAAGTTGTGGAGAATGAACTGGAAGCTGAAAAGTTCTGCAAGCAAAATATTTAACTTGACCTCAAATAATTAAAAGTGTTCCTTGCCACTGGGATTTAGAGCCCAGAACAGCATCTGGAATGCAGATGTATTAAGTTACATTAATATTTAATGCACGTTAAATGTTAGAAATCTGTAGCAGCATGGGAAATTTCTAGAAGCAACAGAAGTCATGCCAATTTTGGAGCAAAAAGTGAAGCAACTTAAGGTGATTGGATGTGGAAATAATAAATCACAAATACTGTAAGCTTTGTTTCTAAGAGATGAGCGCATGAATCTTCCTCAATCTTTTTCCCCTTTTGTAGATGATGTGAATCAGCCTCATCATCGTTTTGGTTTCCAGATGTGGTAGAAGAAAGTTATGTGGCTCCCTTAATTCCTACTGACTTGAGCAACAGTGGATATAATTTAATATATCTGGGGTGATTGTGGTTGGGGAAGGAGAACACTTGAACTTTTTGCAGCATGTTTTCAATTTTGTAGGTGAAGCAGATTTTCCTTCCTACTATTCTCATCAGTGGTGAAAGCACTAAAGATAAAGAGGTGCAGTATATCATTTTTAATAAAGTAATTTGTGCCCTCTTTCAGAATACCAGGGCTGAACAAAGTGAAAATAAATGATAAGCCAAAACGATTACCATGTGAACAATCTATACCAGGGGTCCCCAACCTCCAGGTTTGGGCCCACTACCGGTCTGTGGCATATTTGCAACTGGGCCCCGTATGTGTGAGCATCTTGTGCGAGCAGGAGGCTGGAGTGTGTGCACGTGCATGGAGTGCAACTTGTGCTAGTTGAGCTGTACGCGCATGCGTGCCAGCCCACCGCTCATGCAAGTTGATCATCCACCAGTCCACTGCTTACACACCCTGGTTTCCCTCTTCCCTCTCCACTGGGCTGCCAAGCTGCAAAGGTTGGGGACGACTGATCTATACAATAGATATGGGCAGTTATTTCATCCACAGAGTATCTCAGATACACCTCAGACTGGGCAACACATGCATTAGATGTGTATTTCTTCACAAATCTCATTTTTGTCGTATCCCTCCCACTCTGTTGAGAGAAAATTGAACAGCCCTCTCTCAATAGAGGGGGAGGGATACAACATCATCTATCTCCAATTTACAACACAGTCCTTTCAAAAGTTCCACAAAGGTCCACACCCATTTGCACTGCCCAGGTGATCCTGAGGACACAGATAAACCTCCAAGTAGCCTCAACGACCCTCTAAAAGAATGCCAATGACCAGCTGCCTGCAAGGAATATAAATCCTTCCGTTGCCCACCATCCAGTCAGAGTTGAAGAAGCTTCTCGGATGACAAGCGAAACATCTTCAAAGAAAAACCAGAAAACCAAAAACCAGTTGCCTCTTGAAAAATCACCTTTGGGTTGTTAATATGATTATTTTCAATAACACCTTTAATAATTTCTCCCATCAAGCCTTTTGGTAACAACTTTGGAAGTTGGGGGAGGTCATTCCAAACCTTTTGAGAGTCCCATGAGACCCTGGAGTCTCTGTTTTTGCACCTCATTTCTATTGAAAGGGCTTTAACTATGCTGTCCATCTTGTGGCAACCAAGTCTTAGTACAGTCATGGTGAATCGTTTGCCCTCAGCATGTCACAAATTTGAAAAATACCTAACTTGATTTTGTTGGTGTCTGCCTCAGGATATGAAGCTTACCTTTCAGGCGGTGTTCTCCTTTTGTTGACAGGCCCCTGTGGCCTACCTGAGGCTACTTCAATCACACGAGGCCTTTGTCTCTGAAGCAGTTTTCGAGAGTGCTCTTCTGCGGCCTCCGAAAACCATGCAAAATTAATGGGGCAAAATTGCCAAGAATTGCCTCATGGGGGAGATGAATAGCATATAAATTTAACAAATATTTTTTTAATTTAATAAATAAAATTATGCCTCATTTTTTATCCAGTGGAATCCATTCTATAACTGCCTTAGTCCACCTGCCATCAGCTGCTCTTACTATGTGACTGGCCCATTTCCACTTCCACTTGATTAAAAAGCATCCACAAAAGAGACTTAAAACAAGATGGATCAACAACATCAAGTAATGTGGCAAAAGAATTGGCAACTGGCAAAAGAAAGCTCAAGACTGTATTGCTTGGAAACATATGGAAGAGGCCTTCGTCGTGCAATGGATAGACAATGGCTAGGATGATGATGATGATGCACCACTTTTGTATGAGGCCAGAGACCGTGCAAGGGCATTCTTGCATGGCATCCTCAGCCTCTGAAAATCACACAAGAACTGGACATGCTTTTGAGAATAGTTGTTGCTGAATGTTGGTGAATGCTGGCATGTCATCCAAAACATCATGGCATGTCACCTTTGGCATGTGTCATAGGTTTACCATCACTGTCTTAGTACATACCTTTCATCATTTCATTCACTCCAGCTGTAGAAATACAAGCCTTCAATGTCTCGTGATCCTATTGTATTGAAATCCTTTAAAATAACCAAACAAAAACCAACTGCTATCCCAGATGGTTTCTGAATCTCTTATATAGGATCTACTCACAAAGAATATCCAGCTTCTTACAGTAGTCCGGCTGATATTAGAAGATGGTGGGGAGGGGTGTGTTATGTGACCAAGTTTCCTTCTTGAGGAACACTGCTGTGGATTTGGAGCGGAAAAGTGACTTGTCTTTCCAGTGAAATATGTGTGCTGGATGTTGCAAAGCAGAGGGATTTGCCAGATCCACCCTCCCATGGTATGTAAGGATTGGTCTTCTGTTAAACTGCTGGAAAGCAAATGTTAACAGTAATGGTTTAAGCACAGCAATGCAAGCTGTTGCCTGTCTTGAAGGAAGAAGCATCTTTGGCTGTTGAAAATCGGCTTGTTATGACTCTGTCTGTTTTAAATATTTAATACGAACTTTTAGTTTCTAAAGCATGCCCTTTGCTTTAAGAGCAAAAAACTTAGTGTCCTTTCCATTATTTAAAAAACAACAACAACCCACATCAGAAACTTAAAATGAAATGCCAGAAATAAAATAAGGAACAGCCTGGTGCTCCAAGTGGGAAATACATGGGACTGGTGTTGGCAGAAAGCTCAGCATTTGCACTGTGATGGAAACTACCTTTTGGGAACAGAAGTCTACTGCAAACTCTTCCCAGCACTGGAACTGGAGCAAAGAAACTATTCCAGCAGTGGCCTCTGGGATTGAACAGAGGGGAAAGAATTTGCAGTAAACAGAATTATCTTCACCCAAAGTGTTTGGCCGCAGAAGGGACAAGGATTCTTCTCGACATGGGTCAGAGTCTCCAGCTACACTTCAGACTTTCTGTCTGGGCAGTTGTGATTCTCTTTGTGATTGCTGGATCCCAGAGCCAGACAGGTAGGTTATTTGTCTATTTATTTCTTTATAAAATGTATTGGCCGCCCATTTTACCAAATGGTAATTCTGGACAGCTTACAATATTAAAAGATAAAACTATATAAAAGCCGAAAGTTTTAAATAAAATACCGTAAATACCGAGCCCCAATTAAAACATGGGAATGGGGGTGGGAAGGATAAGAGGGGGTCTGTTATTAATCTATCAACCACCCCCAGTGGGAAACTCCTCCATTGGAGCCCCAAGCCAGCTGGCAAAACCAGGTCTTTAAGCTCTTGCGGAAGGTCAGGAGGGATGGAGCCAACCTCACTCCAGGAGGCAAGATGTTCCGAAGGGCAGGCGCCAAGGGCAGAGAAGGCTCTTCTCCGGGGCCCCACCAGCCAGATTCGAATGGGGCCTGCAACATGCCTCCTCTGCCAGCACTAAATTAATTAGTTTAATTAATTAAATTTAGAACTGAGGAAGCTTCTTGGATGAGAAGTGAAGCATTTTCAAAGAAAAAAACAAACAAAGTCCAGTTGCCTTCTGGAAAAGTATCTTTGGAGTAACTTGTATAGATGGGAGAAGGGCAAGGGCAGAGAATCCTGCATTCCTGTTACGAGAGGGTTAAAACATATGCCTGAAAGCTTCCCATTATGTGCAGCTGTGTAGGAAATTGTTGGTTCCTGCCATATAACCCTAAGCAATCTTAATAGACTGAAACAACTGCAAAGATATTTGCAAAGGTTATTTTTCTTGCAGGAAAGCCACCAGGCTTTTATTGTACATGGAACAAATTAAACTGATAAAGGATTCCAGAACATGCAGATTTTATGAAAGGCTGTCAGGAGAATCTGCATTAATGGTTTTGCTGCTTTTTATGCAGCTATACTGTAAATGCCTGAAAGTGTGAGACTAGAAATTAAAATGCAGCCCTTTTACTTTAACAGAAGAAAACCCCAAATATTCTTCACGTATAATCTTAGATCTTAGTGGCATTTTTTTTCCTGTTTAAGATATTAGATTTTTTTTTCCTGTTTAAGATCTAGAATAAACATGGATAGATTTTCCTTGAAAGATTTTTTTTTATAAACCAGGAATATTTATTCATTTATTTGATTTCTACAGCCACCCATCACAACTAAAGTTTCTGGGCAATGTACATTATAAAACAAAAACAATTATGGATCTATCTCCATGTATAACTTCTAATAGTTTTTGTTTGGTTGCTTCTCTCTTTTTAAAATCACATCTCAATTGCGGATCGCTTCCTTTTCAAAAATAAAGAATGCTGAATGATTACACAGATTTTGATTTAATTATAAATGGGTTATGGAATATGAAACAATTATATCTGGGACAGATGAAGAGGACAATGTAACAAGCTCTAAAAATTAGTCATTTTGAATTTCAGGAACTTTTAATATGTTATTTGGCTCTTAGAGGCAAAGAAATACTTTCCAGAGACAACTTTCTTTTTAAAAGTCATGCCAGCCTGCCTGAGATGATACCTATCAGGACTTAATCTGCCTTCACACAGAATTATTCAGTGTCATTTTACCAGAATGTAGAAAACACAGCCTTTGAGCCTCAAAAGTTATGTATTAGAAAAAAATAAATGGCTTTCCAAACCAAAAGTCACTGAACATTATAAACATCTGTCTTTGATCGAAGAGCCTGTAACTCTCCCTGGAAGCATAGATTTCTTCAAAAAAAAATATGTGCATGATTTAGTTATTGAATAGTAACCATTCCTGAAGTTAATGAATTTAGATTGAAATCTAGATCACCATACAGTATTTTTTCTATAAGCAGTAAAAGATACACAACAATTTATATTTGTTCTTTGTATTTATTAGCTAGTACCATGATGGCGAACCTATGGCATGTGTGCCAGAGGTGGCACACAGAGCTCTCTCTATGGGCATGTATGCCATTGCCAGCTGCTGTTTTGGTTTCCGGCGTAATGCTCGCCAGTCTGCTGGTCTTTGCGGGTGCTGTAGCACCATAAAATGGCCTGAAAACAGGCCATTTTCTGGGCTGTTTTTAGGCCGTTTTCAGACCGTTTTCGGGTCTTTTTCAGACTGTTTTCCGGGCCTTTTTCCAGGCTGTCTCCAGACTGTTTTTTGGGCCATTTTCCAGGTCATTTCCGGGCTGTTTTCAGGCCAATTTTTGGGCCGTTTTCTGGGCCATTTTAGGGCCATTTTTCAGCCCTAAAAACTGCCTGAAAACAGCCTGGAAAAACGGTCCCCCAAACAGCCTGAAAACAGCCAAAAAACAGGCATGCACATGCTAGCCAGCTGATCTTTGGGTTTCCGGCACTCTGGCGCGTGCATATCAATGGTGGATTGCTTCTGGTTCGGTCCAGTTTATAGAAAAATAGTAAAACCGGGGGAGGTTCCACCCACCCACCACGCCGTCATCATGGGTGATCTGTGCAAGCGCAGAAGCGTGCACACTCCCATTGCGAACCGGTAGTAAAGGTAAGTGGAACCCACCCCTGGTGCATATGCACGCGCACGCACATGTGTTCTGGTTTGGGCACTTGGTGCCGAAAAGGTTTGCCATCACTGACCTAGTAGCTTCCAAGGAGAATGTGAGAAATAATTTTGCTCCATCAGCAGTTGTGTAGTTAACTCTGCACTTTAAATTCCTAATTCTAAAGTAACTATCAACCATTGTGATGTGAGTGGGGAAGTCATAGAGACAATGCTGTCTCAAAAACATTTGCCTATCTATTCTAGTGATGGACAGGGCAGTAGGGATAAGCCCAAGCCTTTGCCTTTGTTAGAGCTGCTTAGATTCCAATTATCTTATCTATATTTTGCTTAAACCAGACAATCCCAAAGCTCTAAGGATTGTAATGATTGCATCAAAGCATCAGATGAAGCAACTGCCAGCCAATGAAGCTTCCATACTTTTGTGATGTCACTCACAATTTAAGTGCTAATACTTCTTTTACTTTGTAGGTTCCCATTAGGTACCTAGCTGTGACTAGGAGTGATTTGGAACTTTGGTGAATTACAGTATCATTGCTTTAACTTTTTATTAGAGCTTATCACACTTTGTTTTATTTAAATCTCCAAACAAGAAAAGCAAATCAGAAATCACTGCAGATATGAAGGAAATTGGTCAAAGGATATTATTTCTTAATCCCTGTAATCAAAATGTATTTTTATTCCTATTTTCTAGATGAGCAATTTCACCTTAAGAACAGTACAGATAAAGATATTCAAGAGAATGCTGAGATCGTATTAGAGGTAACATAAGCAAAATCCATCTCTTTAGCAGAAAAATGAGGAAATTCAGTACAGTTGTCTAATGTGGGATTATTCTAGTTGCTTGTGGGACCGCCTTATTTTTCTCTAGTAAGTGTTTGTGGATTTTTGCCTCCAAATTGTATGCTACTATCACTGGATGATCAAGTTTATATTACTATTCAAATGATTCTTCCTCGTTTCCTAGTTCTGCAGAATGTGATCGGGTTGTTGTTATTCTTTAACAGAATCTGTTTTGCTTCATAGCACTGGGCTTATTGCAGCTTTGTATAGCTAGGGATCTCAAGTTAATTGTTATTTTAATTAAGGCACTTCATTTTCAAGATGGGATAACTGCCAAAACATAGGGAGAGGTCTTTCCTGCTTCACATCACATTATAGATCCCGGTTCATAAATAGTGCAATTGGCAGATCACAAACTTTTGAGCTGTTTGATTGATTGGTCGGTGGCTAAAACCTCTCCACCCCACCCCTCATTCAAAGCATCACAATGAGTCCTCCCCCTCCTCATTCCACCTTAAGGAGAGAGGCCAGTGCTTGCTTTTGCTGCCAACAGGGAATGCCTGGTATGAAGGGAAACAAAGATAAGAAAATCCCACCCATTTCTTTTGTTAACTTGTTCTGCCAGCTCAAGGACTGGTGAAACTAACTTTGATGGCTGGGACCTGTGGCACTCGTTTAGCAAAGAGCCACGAGATGGCATCCTGGAGCTAACTCTGCACCTTAGATTGCTTCTGAAGGGGAAGAATATGAAGGGATAGATGATGTCTCCCAATCTTGGTCTTTTCATAGCCTTTTTTTTTAAAAAAAAATCCATTTTTATTTATTAAATTATTAGTCTATCTATCTCCCTGTTATTCCCATTATTATTTTATATTTTAATCATTACTGTAAATGATGGGATTTGATACATATGAAATATTTTGCATATGTACTTAAAATATTTAACAGGGAAATAAGTATTCAGCTTTGACCACGTTGGTTTCAGCATTGCCTAATCCTGTTAGCAATTTTCATGCTTTAGAACAATGAGCTTCTCTTGGCATGGTTTTGTTCAGTGTGACATCTGAATGCAGGCTGTTAACTTAGATCATTGTTCAGCACTGAATATCATCCAAGCCCAAATTTGGAGACTTGGAAAAAGTCTCCACTATTTCCTCATACTTCCTCTTTTTCAGTTACTTTGGGGAGGAATTGAAATTACGGCAAATGAGACCATCAAGATAGAAGATGAAGAATTCGCCACTCTGCGTCCTGCAAAGCGCTTACTCTGGATCTTTCAGCATAAAATTCCCAAAAATCCATCAGGAATCGAAGAATACCTGGATCATTTCTCTCAGTCTGACACCCCGATCACTCCGGAGGAATTTGAGCAGCTTGTTTTCACTACTATCTTTACTGCTTACCAGATTCGCATTGTCCAAGGTCTGGATAAAAATCTGTGGATCAACCTTTTCTCTCAGCTGGTCAATGAAATCCTCCGGGAGCTCTGCAAACAATTCTGTCCTGAGGAACTGACTGATTCTGTTCAACATTTAGCCTCCAGGCCTTGGCAGGAAATGCCTGCCTATGTTAGCGCATTGAAGAAATTCTATCAGCCCAGCTTCGTTATGACTCAAGGAAACTGATTTTCCTGCATAAAGAGCAAAACTTGAGTCATCTTTCACCCCATTAAATGCGCACTAAAATACAGAAATACATTTGAAGTTCTTTGATCTCTGTAACATTATCTGAGACTCTGCATGGACCAAAGTAGCAATCTTCTTGCTTTGTTTTCCCAACTTCAGTAGACAGTCCTTTGTTCTTTAATGTAATCTGATTTAGGAGAGCCTTTCCCAATGACCTTGAGATATACTAGAATTTACAACATCCAGTCATGACTAGTCCGACAAAGAATTCTGGGACTTGTAATCCTGACACATATGGAGAACGCCAAGTTAGAGAAGGCTGACCCTGGAGCTTGGACACTGCTCTCCCTCTCCCTCTAGGGCAGGGGTCTCCAACCTTGGCAACTTTAAGACTTGTGGACTTCAACTCCAGAATTCTGGGAGTTGGTCCACAAATCTTAAAGATGTCAGGGTTGGAGACCCTGCTCTAAGGTGTCCCATTCAGAGATTACTTTTCTCAGTGGAGAGTTGGCTTGCCGTTGGCTGGGATTAGGTTTCAGTGAAAATAGGACCATGCTAACTGCTGTTAGAGAACACAAATTATCTTCTCACGTAGCATAAATGATAAGAAAACAGATGCATGTTAAAAGGAAGATCTTGTCATTATAAGAACAATTATCTATTTAGCAGGATAATTTTGAGAAAGCAGTGCTTAAGCCACTACATTTCTTCATTTTCTTTCTGTTATATTGTAGCAATGGCGGAAAACCTTACAACTAAAACACAGGATCTGCATAAAAAGGGAACAGAGACAGAACATTTGAAAAAAAGGGTTGGGAGGTGTTTCATCAGGCAATTTAAAATGCCTTTAAAAAGTTGAATATCCTATTTGTAAATGATAAAATAACAGGTTTTACATATACAGTAAATAAGGTGAGGACATTATATATATTCACCTTGGAAACTGGAAATTCTGAAGGCTACATGATATTTTAAAATATAAATTTACAAGCTCATGACTGTATGGTCATAACTAAGAAATATTTTATATTGCCACCTTAAGTTGATTGCTCAATAGTGCAATAGACAATTTAGCATCCAAAACTTGTTGGAACAGATGGTTATACCTGGAGTCTCCAGTTCTACCAAAACAGTTCCAGTTCCCCCAAAACAATTTCTTTGTGGGCAAAATAAAATATACAGTAGAAATGCTCTAGCAACTAAATCCTTAATTTATCTTTTAACTTTTTAAAAGTATAGTCATCAAAGAAAGTACCATAGAAGAACTCAACAAACTGATTCTCTTCATTTGTTACAGCTGTTGTACTTTTGCCATTGTAAGCCGTCATATAAAATGTGCGTATAATTTCCTTTGGAAGCATAAAGTCTCTGCTTTTGTAATAATCCAACAAGCTAACACATAAGTGAGGTACTTTAGCTGATAGATCAATCAGTTAAAAATATCCATAGTTGATTTATCAGGTGGAATCTGTATTAGATGGAGAAGAAGACTTATAGAAGCCTACAAGATAGTACTCCCTTTTAATATTAAATGATGAATAGCTTTGTGGATAAGATTAGATTCCCTGAAATAGTTCTGACAAGGATTTGACAATACTCAAATTTGTTTAAAATATCCAGTACTTTTTAATTTATCAAACATCAAATGATTCTTCAATTATTGGAGATACACTACAAACATACTACACATTTAAAGCTTGGGATCCTTTTTCATGAATGGAAAGGCTTGAATATTGCGACATCAAATGTACAAATACACACAATCCTTTTAGTTTCAGGCTTTATTTGGTGTCCCATTATATCTATCCCTCTCTTGTGATGTTTGCCAACAGTTGAACAGAATGTTATCAATTCTCAAACGTTCTGCAGAGGGAGCCTTTGACCATATAACCCTTTTCAGCATTTTTCAAATGTCCTAATTTGCATATCTCATTTATCTCCCCCTATTCCTTTACTCCCCAAATTGACTCATGCTTTAGTCTTATGTCTAACAGTAATAATGAACAAAACACACCAACTTGTGGATGTCATTCTAGGGATGAATGAGAGAAACAACAATGGCTCTGCAGGCAGAAAACACAAGGAAGGTGTCCATAAGGAATACACTGGACATGTAATAGCATGCTTGTATCTTCTCACATGAAGAATGGTATTTGTCCAGGATCTGCACAAGAGTCTGCTGCATCTGGAATACTCTTATGCTTATGTTGTATATGCACATTTAGAGATTTGACCCTGGAGAAATGTTGGAATCTGAAGAGAATTTTGTCTTAGTCTCTGGATAGACAAGGAAGCCGGTGAAGGTTATGTATTTGCCATGATTGCTGTAAGCACCATAGCCATCATGCTGGTGACTGTAGAGCCAGACAATGTCACCAGCTTGCAGAGGAAACATAATGCTCTGGCTCTGCATCTCCCGCCTTTTGGAGTGGTTATCATCATAGATCATGGCCTGAACTTCATTGTGGTTCTTCATCAGCTTTACTGACATTGTTTTGAAAGGCATTTTACCAATGGTGAATGAAAAATAGTAGGCGCCTGGAACACGACATGTAAAGATGCCGGTTGAAAAATTGAAGTCATTCCCAATGTTCACAAACTCTGTGTCAAATGTGATGGGCTCATGCTGGGTTTGCTTTTCATCCGATCCTAGGAGGCTTTCGGAACGAGCAGCTGAAAAGGCAGAGCGAGGATCCTGTGGTCTAGCTGGCTCATCAGAAAGCAGGAGTCTTTCTGAGACTTGGTTTTGGTTGATGGAAAGCTGCTGAAGAACATGAGAGGGAGGCTGAGATGGTTCTTTTCCTAGTTCTGGAGAGCCTACTCTATTTTGAAAGTAGCTAGAGGTGTCTGGATAAATGAGGTACCCATTGAAAGTTGTATAGGGGCCCACATTGCTATACAGGGCATACTTTGGATCCCCATGTAAACGTAGCCACACAGTATCACCGTAGTCCAATTGTAACATGGCACTTTGGCTGGCCACTTTTCGCTCTTTACGGTGATGTTCATCATATACAATTGCCTGCACTTCATTCTTGTTTCTCATTAGCATGACTGATAAATTTTTCTTGGGGTACTTTCCGACAGTGAAGGAGAAATAGTAGGCTCCAGGGATACGACATCGAAATAGTCCAGCTTTGGGGTCAAAGTCATCCCCTATGTTTACATAGACCTTATCAAAGGTGATCACCATCTCGGTGCTTCCTTCCATGCTGCTGGTCCTAGCGACAGAGAAGGCAGATCGGAATTCAGTCCCGGAATCAGCAGGGAAGCCATATACAAAGCAGAAGGCCAAATGGAAGAGAAGGCCAAATAAAATTTGATCTTTCCACTGGGTCATCATATCTAAAAAAAAAAAAAAAAAAGGGGGGGAGACAAATTAACCAATGTATTCAAAAACTGCTTTTCGACCAGAGAGTAGCCTTAAAACTTTACTTACTTTTGTATAGCCAACAGATAAAACCCAGACACTGCTACATCTGATACCAGCTCTTTATTGGAAGCATAATAGGAATACGTATTTTACATTGAAAATGCAACAGGATATAATACTTAGTAAACATGCAGAAGACAGTATCACAGACTATGTCTGAATATAGATATATGTCACTATTAATTCTCAAACCTGAAAAAATATCTGTTAATCTGCAGAAATGTAAGTATGGCTACACCGTTGTCCTCATTGAAATGCAATTAGGTAGGATTAGTTTGGGAACAAGTTAGGTCTGTATTTAATATCAACAGGATGTCTCCAAACAAATATTTTCGATACTGATTTTGTATCAAAATACTGTTGCTGCAGTAACTTAATTGAGTTGTATAGTTCAGTTTTAAAAAACATTCTTAATTCTTTTTCCCCATCTAATTTACTGTTGTAATCTCCTTGTGTTTCAGTTTCCAGAAATTAACAGCTGTGTATTGTTATTATTGCTATTATTGGTTTTTTTTTAAAAAAAAATATGAGACTTTATTTCATTTAGCTGGCTAGTCAAAAGCTTTTAAGATTAGCTGTCCAAAAAACATGAATATTCAGATGCTGATTCTTTGTTCGATTATATTCACTTGATTAAAGAAGAATGCAGAACTCACATTTCCATTTTCCGCCTCCTCCCAATCCCCACCAAGTTGGCCTAAATGACACCATCTCATTGCCAACAGTAACAGTAAGGATGATTTTGAGAAATCTGAAGAAAGGTGTGTGTGGGTGTGAATGTGTGTGTAAGAATGCAAAGAGAAAAATATTTCTATAATAAAGCAAAATATGTTGTTAAAGTAATAGATCCAAATTCTGTGACTGCAGTGAATCACACTGGTGGGATTTAAGAAAAGATAACACCTAATGCATTTCTCCTGCTCCAGTATTTATGATTCTAATGACAAGAGGCCAAAACATGATCCGTGGTCACTTTCAATCTGAGAACAAGCCTGTCAATCACTGCCAAGACATGAAGCTCCATTCACAGTCCTTCTTCTCCCAGGCTCATTAAAATGTCACTCAGTCGGAAGGCCTGGTGGCTGGGATCTCTTGTCTGCCATCTCTGTCTCTCCCTGTCACTTCAAAGCTGGTCTATTGCCATCAACAGTCTACAAATTCGGAGGACTCTTTCATCAGAGCTAAATACTGTCTTAGGTGAAAAGTTGGTATTGCAGACATGCTACTGTCACATGCACTCATCCTACATCTAAGCAAAGAGACATTCAGAGGTAATACTACTTACTTAGGAATCAGTTTCTTTGGAAGGTGTACACTGGAGGGTGACAGCGTGTCTTTGATAAATCATGTATATGATGGTTCACTAAAGGACAGTACTCTCCAACAGATTTGAGAGAAACTCCAGAGCCACAGGTTTTCTTAAGGGAAATCAGTGCAGCCTGATTCCTACCCAGGGGTGAAATCCAGCAGGTTCTGACAGGTTCTGGAGAACCGGTAGTGGAAATTTTGAGCAGTTCGGAGAACCGGTAGCAGAAATTTTGAGTAGTTCGGAGAACCGGCTGGCCCCAGAGTGGGGTGGAAATGGAGATTTTGCAGGATCCTACCCCTGGAGTGGGGAGGGAATGGGGATTTTGCAGTATCCTTCCCCTGGAGTGGGGAGGGAATGGAGATTTTGCAGTATCCTTCCCCTGCCATGCCCACCAAGCCACACCCACCAAGCCACGCCTACAGAACTGGTAGTAAAAAAATTTGGATTTCACCACTGTTCCTACCCCACATTTCTAGTCTCAATCTCAGGAAAAGGGAACTATGATAAAGGAAGAAAAATGATTCTCCATTCTTATTAGCTCATCCCACTATCCAAACTAACAGCAGGATGGGGATAGTGATGATCTTGTTTAAGTGCTTTCCATTTGTAAAAATATTCTTTAGACCAGCATTTCTCAACCTTGATGACTTTAAGACATGTAGACTTCAACTCCCAGAATTCTCCAGCTGGCATAATTGGGAATTGACATTTATATATCTTAAAGCTGTCGAAGTTGAGAAACAGCGCTGTAGATCACACCACTATTGGCAGTCTCAGGGCAAACCTTGTTTTCTTTTGCAGAACAAATGAATTACACTTGGAAATATTGAAATAAAAGGTTTCTCACTCTTTGGAATCGGTGCATGAAACAGCAAGCTATACTTGAAATAAATGACAAATAAAATATATGAGATCCACTTGACAAAAGTGGACATAAAGGATGGTATGCCAAGGTCATTTTTTTCACTTTAGATATTAATATTGGATTAGAGAACACATTTGGATTCAACCGACTGAAGTGTAATGGAGTTAGAAGTGATTTGAAAAATGTTATTTACCTCAGGAAAACTTAGGATGAATTCCTATTTTATGAACAGCAATCATTTCCCCCCTCCCCTCCCAACTATCTTCCTCTTTTTGAAAAATCTCTAATAGTTTATTTGGCTGAGGTTTTTTTGTGCATTCAGAGATGGTGATGGCAAGACTTTCTTGAAACCTAACATCATGTATTTATTTGTGCGTAGGCTGGAAATGATAAGAAGGTGGTCCAAGTATGTTCGGGATGCTTCCACAATAGAACCAGGCCTACTTCTTAAATCCAAAAAAGGAACAACATTAGGTTCCTTTCTACATTTATATTTTCTGAAAGAACAATGTATTCAGTATCTATTGTGGCCCGCTAGCGGCCTGCGCAGATTGTGGCTGATCCCGACGACAAGGAGGCTGGTGTGGTGTCGCGCCAGCAGCCTGCACAGCCGGCGCTTGCGTCGGACAGCGAGGAGGCTGAAGAGGATGTGGTGCCAGAGGCAGAGACTCAGCCAGGGCCTTCGAACCTCCAGAGGCTCCTTCAAGTGGAGAGAGCGAAGTGGAGGAGCCTCTTCTCAATGCTCGAGCACGCAGGGCTGCCAAAAGGCAGGAGTGGCTACTCAGGAGGAGGAGGTCTCCTCGAGAGTAAGGCTTGAGGATAATTGGCCACTCCCTTAGCCTATTTAAGTCACATGTGGTTAGTAAGTTTCTTGCTGGAAACAACTTGTAATTATCATCAGAGCATTTTTGGAAAAGTCTTATCGTATCTTGTTTTCTGGGCTGGTTGCCAACCTTTGCCAGACTTTGGTTTATTCTTGCTATTTAATAAATTTGACAAGGACCGTTGGTGTGTGTCAATATCCTCGGAAATCCAGAGCTGGGGCAGAACAGTATCACCGATCAGACATTTGTTCAGTTAACAGGATTTTTCAGTCATTTTTCCTCATTCCCAAGGCATGTTCCATGGATGATCCGTGTGTGTGTGTGTGTGTGTGTGTGTGTGTGTGTGTGTGTGGAGGGTGTGTGTGTAGTGGATCCAGTTAATAATCAACTCTTCTGGTTCAACAGAGCAGCATGTGCAGCAATGTGTTTTTCTTGACATATTTTGACCACTGCTTCACTGGCTTCCATTTTAAATGTTATCAGCATGCCCAAGCAGTCACTTCACATAAATACCAAGGAAGATTATGGAGATGATAAAAGATGTTAAGGTCTGCACCAGTGGTGGGTTTCAAATTATTTTTACTACCGGTTCTGTGGGCGTGGCTTGGTGGGCATGGCGTTGCTTGGTGGGTGTGGCTTGGTGGGCATGGCAGGGGAAGGATACTGTAAAATCTCCATTCCCACCCTACTCCAGGGGAAGGTTACTGCAAAATCCCCATTTCCTCCCAATCAGCTGGGACTTGGGAGGCAGAGAATAGATGGGGGCGGGGCCAGTCAGAGTTTTTACTACCGGTTCTCCAAACTACTCAAAATTTCCACTATCGATTCTCCAGAACTGGTCAGAACCTGCTGAAACCCACCTCTGGTCTGCACATTGTTAAGCACATAACCATTTGAAACAGAACCATTGTATTTGCCAAATTCTAGCACTACTTCTGCTGCTCACAGTGTAAACGATGGCACATTTGCTGAAGTACTTTGGGTGAGGAAGAAAATTTGAACTATTTATTTGTTTCTGGAGTTTGTAGCCTGCTGCAATCAAATAACTCATGGTTTACAGGGAGTACCACAGAAATTACCACATCCATCATAAACTCTACTCCATACAATATAAGACCTCAGTGAAAACAGAAATGACAAAAAAATTAAAAATAAACGATGCACTATATTAATCAAGAGAATGCCGTCTATAATAATTCAATTTTCAATCACTTCCTGAAAGCCAGAAGAGAGGGATGAGTTTGATCTCCAAGGGCAGGCTATTCCAGATCAATAGTGCTGCCACTTCTGATGGTCTCCACTGCTGTTCTAGTAGGCATCATGGAGTCTAGAGCACTGTTTCTCAAATTTGGCAACTTTAAGACATGTGGACTTCAACTCCCAGAATCCTTCTGCATGAATTCTAGGAATTGAGGTCCACATGTCTTGCCAACTTTTGAGAAATACTGGTCTAGAAGAAGTCCTAAACTGAAAATGGGCTCCTTCATAATTAGTGCTTGCCCATCCAGAGGCAGCACTGTGGTTGACAATAAGGTTTCTATGAACTTTATTTATGAATGCAACTTAGCATATGTTAAAAGATGTCCATTTGAAGTGGCAGAAGCAATTGGAAAATTCCCATAAATGATTCTACATGCGGCTATGCTCTTAATGACCTGGAAGTCAAAACAAATCAAAATATTATAACTCACATTTTTATAAGATGATCTTTTATAAGATGATCTACTGTTGGTATCTCCCCCCCGCCAGAACCGCTAAGATGTTCCCAGGATCCTCTGATAGATGTTGGAAATGTGGGTTGGCCAAGGGTACTTTCTTCCATCAGTGGTGGATTTGTCTGTCGACTAGACGTTATTGAGGGAAAATACAGCAGTGGCTGCTGGAAATAACAGGTGTGAGCTTTCCCCTTCACCC